CGAGATCCGAACCCAAGACCTACCAGTCTCGCGCCAGAGCACTTAACCGATAGACCACTAAGCCGGCATCCAGTGTTTATTTAGCCACTACTAACCTACAACACTATCAATATCTTTATGTTCCTTGAACTTCTTCTATGAACCCAAATCGATTACATTTAGGATCAACTATTGGTAGAGTGATCATTTCATGATATGAACCAATAATTATTATTTAAACTGGATTACTGTGGGCAACTTGGTTACAATTCAGAACCAAATATTAAACCAAGTAAGGTTCGAAGTTAACTACCAGTTCATAGAAGAGTATTGATGTGCACTGGTTGCCCTTGTATAACGCTATAAAAATTTCAAGCAAATTTTCTTGCATTTTCTTAGATTATTCTGCTTACAAACACTAAGTTGCTTGCAGAAGTTGTTTTAACCCCTCGCAGCCATTGGTAGAAAGAAGTTTTGTGTGAATAAAACAGTCTGTGAAGTTGAGAGCACGTCAGTTAGTGACCAAAAGGAGTGTTCTAAATGTTGGGTAGAGCAGTTATAACGACATTTCAACTAATCTATTGGCCTAGCACTGCTAGTTATACCATCTTATGTTCCTTCAACGGTGAATATTGATTCATCTAAAAAATTAGAGGTTTGTAAATAAGTTCAATTTCTGAAGCTCCACAATTTGTCTGGTTTGGACTTTAGACCGAAGACCGTTTTCAAAAAAAAGAACTTTCGTCAGTAAGTTGACTTCACTGGTTGGAAAATTTTAGGTAGCAAGCTTCCTAAAAACATTCCCAACCGACTACTTGAGTGAGAAGACCAAAAGAAAACGGGAGATTTATTGGTTAAATCCAATCCAGAGTTACGTGTACGTCTATATATATCCTTTATTATATATCCTTTAGAAAATCAAACCGTGTGGATCTCTGTGAGTCCTAGTGATGGGATTGTACTTGAGATCAATTTGCATAAAATGAAGTCCAGATTAAGTTATCTTCAGAACTATTATGATGGTGATCTGACCATAAATATCAATAATACAGTAAATCAGCTGTTTGTGAAACCTAACTTCTTCAAACTAAGATTTTCGGACAACTCCCTATATTCATTCATCGATGACTATAATCGATTTCTGTCATCCGGTGACAACATCTTATTATTAATCCTGAGGTTTTGTAGTTTGTGCGTTGAGTGAAGTGATAGTAATTCAGTTGATGACATCAGCTTGAAACAAAGGGTTCGGTGGCTAGAACATATTTTGCAGATATTATTTCAACAACTTTCATTATGAGGATTATTTATCTACAATAAGACTAAGTGGGAATAGTGAAGATGTAGTCAGTTTGACAATATATCATCACTAAATTTTCTTATCTCCTGACTAATATTCTACTGATTATCCAAATCATTTACTTGACATAGAATAGATGCTGATGACAAATCTAACCTTGTTTTCGATCTTTATTCTTCATAAAATTGAGTTTATTTCCCTTAACTAAAAGAAACCTTTCTAGGTGGGATTTTTTTTAACCATATAGTAATCACATATTCATTTCATTCCCCTTGCTCCCCCTCCCTCTCTCTCTTCGTTTTCTTTATAATAACATTACTCTACTTGTGACGGGTTTTTTTGTGGCGCCCTACTGTAACAAAATTCCTGTCTACAAGAATTAGAAATACATTTCAATATTTCATTTTTTTTGCTGTATAAAATAGAGATTGATCAATTCAATGTAAAATCCCAGTATTTTAATAATTTACCAAAGGAAATGGTTACTTATTTTTAAGGGGAAAAAACATTAATTATCCCACTTATTAACCAATAAGAAATGAGTTTTGTACAATAGAATCTAATCAATAACCTTTTTTAAATATTATGATTAATACACTTTACTCTTTGTAAGTTAAGGCGTCATTATGGATGGTTGATGATATGTTATTCCAATTTTTATAATCTGTTATAGGGATAAGTTGATAAGGAGTTCATAGGATCATTACGGGGTCCTAATTTGACTGATATCTCTGTGAGTAATCTTGAACAAACGAAATTTAAACAGAAAATCGAAGATATGGTATTCTACTGAAAGTATACTGAAAATACATTTATTATTAGTGGTATGGTGTGTGCTATTGAAATCGACAGATATAAGTAGTATGTATCATCGATCATAAGTGGATTGCCTAGTGACAGAAGGTTGAGAAGATCAAAGAGAAGAAAACGAGAATACAGAGTGATTGGTGTGCAAACGAAAGAAAAATCGAGCCTGAGACAGTTAGTTGACATTTACTGTATGGTTTTCAGATTTTACTAATATATTCTGTAATTGTGTGTTGAAATATATTTGCTTGTTTACACGTTTGTTCTCGTTCACTACAGTAGTGATAATGCGAACCACGTCTCACAGTTGTTCTACCAATTTCAGGAAGTGGATATCAACATTAAATTCACGCTTGGATATGAACATAATATAATCAATTTAAGAATTTAAATCTGAAAATAGAACAGTGGGGCTGTAGTGAACAGAACACCGGTTAGGATGCACATATACCTAAACATCAATGGAAGGATTAAAACAAACAATTTATTTTTCTCCATCTGTCTTTCGAATATATTCATTACTGTCTAATTATTTGAATACTTCTTGTAAATTAATTTTAATGACTTTGAAATGAATATTATCTAAATGTCTGCTTTTCCATGTTTTTTAATTTACATCCTATTATGAAACCATAATGATTCATGTACTGATTATTCTTATCACAACTAGTACATTTATCATTACACTATCAATTTACAGTTTTTATCTATTATGTTTAGTAATGTAATCTTTTTTATTGTTATCATAGCCCCCTATGAATTCTCTCGATTGTTTAAATAATTTTCCTAGTTTCAGTCATAAAGTGATCTTGGTTAGACAACAATTAAAAACCTAGAAGCATTGGATGATTGTTTGGTGCTAGAATGGGTTACTTCGGCAGTATGCATCCATGACCACACAAACAAAATTGAACTTAAAGACGATAAACTTGTCGACCACGATGCCGGTATCCAGTTGTGTACATGCCTAACTTCAATCAGTTCGCAATGTTGCATGACAATCTTGCACTGCCTGTGATGAATAACCATCTGATACCAGAGACTGATTGAACTCCACTAATCACGGCTGTATGTGTATATAAATATTTCTGCCTAATGAGAGTAAAGAATAATGAATATCTAGTTAAAAACAATGTTTGCCCACTTTTACATGCGTTGTTTTATTTTAAAATTCATTTTTACATGCTAACTAGAATTATCAGAAGAAGGTTTTGTGGAGATTTTAGTAATTTTATATGGTTAAGATCATGAGTCAATTGAAGCTAGACCACCATGGAAAACCTGGAAGCGAGATTGGTAGGTCCTGGGTTCGAATCCCGCGAGATGGGGCCGTGGATGCGCACTACTGAGGAGTCCCATAATAGGACGAAACAGCCGTCCAGTACTTCCAGGTTTTCCATGGTGGTCTACCTTCAATTAACTCATGATCTTAACTATATAAAATTACTAACTTATTAGATGGATTTTGAGCGTAATATGAAGAATATGTCATTTCCAAGACAAATTTGCGTAGAATGATTCCATTTGATAATAGACATTAAAACCAATTAATAACTCTCCATTTTAAACAATCAGAAACTACAAACTCCTTCTATCAACAAGCATGTAGCATGAAACCAACTTTATTCTATTGAAATCAATATACATTTCATAAGGGAAGACAAAAATATATTATCTATTCCAGTTTTATTATATCATTTCAAGAGGATTTCGTTAGAAAAATTAAATTTTGTAATGATAATTTTTTATTAAAAAAATCATTTAGAGTCAGATGTTATTGGTAAATAATTTCACCATATGTTGAATTTTTTTGTAATACGTTTAACTTGAAATGTTCAAATTTTAATGAAAATGTTCTTCAGAAGGAGTTTTGTGGGGATTCCAGTAATGTTACAGTTGAAATCATGAGGCGGGATCGTGGATGCACACTGCTGAGGAGTTCCACAATAGGACGAAACGGCCGTCCAGTGCTTCCAGGTTTTCCATGGTGGTCTAGATTCAATTGACTCATGATTTCAACTATAAAAATGTTTTTAATTATTCCATTTTTTTTCTGTTGAGATCATGAACAGATCCATGTTAAGCCAAAAGTGAAAACCTGGAAACACTGAATGGCCATTTCATCTTAGCATGGAACTCCTCATCAGTGAGCATCCATGATCATTCGCGCGGGACTCGAACCCTGAACTTTTAGCCTTACACGTGAATGCTTAACCGTTAGACCACTGAGTCGGAATCGAACGATGTGAAATGTCTAACTTCAACTAGTCCATAATATTTCTCCCTACACTTACAATGATTCCATGTAGAAAAATAATGCGATTTACTAATAAATGTAGTCATTACATATATGTGCACAATATTATAACATAATGAAAAGAGGAGAATATGCAAACTGTAATTATTAAATGAAATAGCAAAAAACGACTTAAAAAAACAACTGGTTGTAAGGTGTTATATGTTTGGAAGTGAATTAGTGACAAATGAAATATATTTTTCAGTGAAATATATATAGACTATAGTTGTTATATATATTAACTTCTTTTGGAGTAGTATTACAATCTAAAGGGTACCGAATAGATATTTTATTCTAACGTTGAACTCCTCTACAGTGTACATCTACAATCTAAACAGGAGTCAAACGCCAAACTTACACGATTTATAGAAAATAATCAATGATTAAAAGCATTCAGATATAAAACAATGAACGTGTAATAGCATTAATGATGACTGTTTCGCTCCAAACATACCTGAAATGTATCAGTTATGACCTCTCACTAGAAATGCTTTGATTATTTAGTGATAAAGTTGATCAATGTATTGAATATGTTTCAAAAAATCAAGTAACATTTATTACAGTATAAGAAAAAAAGTATTTAAAAGCGGAAAAAAAGAAATAACAACTGTTGCTTACTTTTGTCATCCATCTAGCTTCTTCAGAATCAAATATAATATATGGTGAATCAACACGTACTAAACGTTTATTTGGAAATTGATTATGAAAATCTCTTGTATCTAATGGTCCACTTGCTTCTAAATTACCTTCTAATTGTTTTGGTTGATATTCACCTGGTACAAATACATGAGAACGTGTACGTATTGGTGTACGATAAAACATTGATGATTTCATACATCCTTGAAGAATATTCACCGTGTAAATTGTTAATAGAATTATAAATAATAAACAATGTGATTGATACATAATTTAAGTGTTATTTCATTATAATAATAACAATACTATCCAATTAGATATTCTTTATTTCTTTTCATAATTAAATATACCGAATGAAAATGAATCCGAAATTATGTTTTCGCTTGTATAAACTTTGCGTTATACTTCAGATACTCATTGAGTGCCCTCAAATTGTGAGTTATATACAGTATACTGTATACAATAGAATAATGAAATACATTTTGATTGAAATGAAAATTATCAATGAATTAAAAGTCAACATGAATTGTTGCCAACCACACACACACACTGTATGTGTATTTGTTTAAATGTGTCAAGTTTCTCTGTATCCTTCATTTGCGTGGGTACATTTTCGAAAAAAGAAAGATATTTTGATTTATCATCATATTCAATTCGCTTATATCACTGTAATTTTGTCTCTTAACACAGTATGTTAGTAAATTTCATAATTAAACAATGTAGGCTACCATTCGTGATTACAATATTGATATATGAATAGGTTGTATCTATTAGTTAATCACAATGGGGTTGTTTTTTTCTCTGTTACCTATGCTAGTGATGACATAATTTCTTAGATAATTTTCTAAAATCCATACCGCAGATAATGTTTACCTCATTGAGAGGTTAACATTTTTAGCGGATAAAAGCGTCATTGATACATATCATAATGCCACCTACACCCTTTTACATTGACTAAATTATATACATCACAGATTGTATGAACATGAATTGACCCCTATCTCTTATGAATATGATTGGTTGAATTTTCCATACGGCCAGTTATACATTAACCAATCATATTTGAAATGTATCGTCAATTGAAAGGGTTAGAATGTTTAAATATATATGAGTAGGTGTATTTACTGAACGCAGATAGATAGACATACAGTCTAAGAGACATCCAAAATATATTTTCTTTTTTTTGAATTTCAATGGACAAAATTGGTCAATGTCCAGTTAATGTTTTACCAAAGTAATGTAATCATAAGCTAAGTAGAAAAACTTACATAATACTGAACGGGTTCATAATCAATTTTATTTGTTAAGGAAAAAGCAGAAATCACTTTTTAAAATCCAGAATAAACTGAAATGAAAATCAAACAACACTATATTGTTGTTGTTTTTTTCTTGAAAAAGGAATTCATTATTTACCATGAAACTTTATGAATCATGCAAATGTCAAAGTATTCTTTTCAAAAGAATAATAATAACACCTAGGAAAAATCCCTTCATTAAACTAGCTCCATGAGGTATTTCCAGGTGTTCTAGTGAGAAGCAGTAACTACGGGGGTTTAACCAGGTCTGTTGGGAGATATCAACTCACTGAAGACACTGGTGAAATGGTTGCTCAATTTCGTGGATTGGTTGAAATTAGACATTAACACCGTTGGATGCTGACTCAGTGGTTTAGAGGTTAAGTAATCGAGCGCGAGACTGATAGCTCCTTGGTTCGAATCTCGCGAGTGCGGGATCATGGATGTGCACTACTGAGGAGTCCCACAGTAGGATGAAACGACCGTCCAATGCTTCCAGGTTTTCCACGGTGGTCTAACTTCAATTGACTAATGATTTCAACTATATATAAACTTATATTTGGTGTAACTTTATCATGTTTCACTAATATTTACTTTATATTTATTCTAATCACACACAATTAAAATTATTTCGATGAACAGACAAGAATGAGACTAAATAAAAACCTTATAGAAGTTGCATAAAAAAGAAACCCAGTTGTCAAACAATAAAAATATGCAGGATAATTCATTATATTCCTATGATGAATAATGATTCAATACTCAAAATATTAATTTTACTAGTCAAACATTAGTAACCAAAGTAACATGGAGAAAAATGAGAGTATTTTATATTAAATGCTTTATACATCAGGTTAGAATGGTATTGTATGATTAAAGAAATAATCAATAATAATAAATAGAGAGATTAACATTTATGTGATTTATTTGTAAAAGTTTATATCTTTCCGTTGTTATTTTGAAGGGTTGCAATTGATCAGTTTCTTTTAGTATTATTATTTCCTAAGCAGATTGTCATTAACTCATCGATCAGATAGTAGCTAGGAGTGGAATTTAGAATCCGGGTTCATTTTATTTCGAACTCATCTAGATGGATCTGCAGCATTCTAATGTTGATGTTCACATTAAGATATTAACATAGAATCTTTCAACCCAAAAATCAACTCATTATCATTTTTATCACTGAAATTAGATGGCCACTAACGAAAAATACTGAATTCGAGTATCAACCTTAACAACGACCCCAAGATATGCTAGATTTTTTAATCTGAAGAGTTTTATATAGGATGAAACAAGGATCCGAAATCCCTTTGCTAGTTACTGGGGAACTTAAATATACAAGTCTGTTTACCATATTTTTCGGTGCCCATCCCAAATATCTTCTTTAATCTTATAAAAAAATCCATGCTAGTGTTCGTAAAACATCAGAATAAAATCAAATTAATGAAAGTTTAGAGAAAACAGATCTGATGATATAAAGAGAAACAAAATTGTGAAAAATACGATACAAAACTAGTTAATCTGTTTAGCCTCTCGATTGTACTGATGACAAGATGATTTTACTCATTGTTTCCTGTTATTTTACACTGGTTATTCTTGACCAAATTTATTTCTTCTACATATTCATTGTATTTAGTAAAATATAGGATGAATATGTAAATTTCAGTCGTACAATGGTTGAACACTAGAATTAGAGATTGTTAGATTTTGTAGTTTCTACATCAAGGACTGGATCTTAATTTAACAATCATTTAAAATTAGAAAGTACTAAACTTCTGTTTATTCGTAGAATCAAACAATTGATTGTCAACTCGATGATCTAGAAGTTTAATGCTATCCACGAGATGCAAAGTTTTTGAGTTTGATTTCCTGTGATAGATTTGTAGATGAAGATTGTTAAAGAGTCCCTTATACAATGAGAACAGCTGTCCATTACTTCCTTGGATTTAATAGGTTCTTTAACTAATGTCAGTTAGTGATGTGAATGGGAAGAACAGTCACTGTTAGACGAATTTATTGTTTAAGCAACATATTTATAATGCATTGTACTATTAAACAGTTTTCAAACCAATAATTCCATAAATAGCATTCATTTACCTTACAAAAACAAACAAACAATATATTCGATCTAAGATTAAATTTAAACGATTCTAAACTGTTAACAAACTTTTAACATTATGTTCGCAAGTATTTTTAACCGTTTTGTCATAATCTTACAATGAAGCCTTGGTATTAGTTATTTAAACAGGAAAAAAACTTCACTTAGTATTGTTCGTTTGAATCTTCCTATTGATGTGTTAGGACTGCAACTGGTCAGTCTCTTATTGGAATATGTGCATACTGTGCGTATTGCCTCGAAATAGCCTAAATTCACAAACATGGTAAGCAAAGATGGATAGTGGTTAGCACTGGAATCTAGGACGCGCGTTTCGTCCTATTTGGGACTGGTCAGCTGGATGTACCTGCATCACAGAGTTGATGTTCACTCTGGGACTCGAACCCAGCACCTTTTGCTTCAAACGCCATCGCGTTATCCACTCGGCCGATGAGTTCCGATAGCCACGTTATTGGCTTATCCCACTTCAGTGTTTGACTTTTGTTTAGAATATATGTAATATATGTTATGCTTTTCATTTCAGTCTTATTTTTTGACAATAACTAAGCTCTTTGTCCTATGGTTTATTTCCAAAGTGTTTAATATGTTGAAATTTCTGTGCGAATAAAAATTTAGCACAATTTTAAAACGAAGTTACTTCTTATAAGACTGTAACCGATGTGCATCTTTTTCTATGTCTAACACTAATCCATAATGTTATTTTCTCCTATATTCTTTACAGGTAACATTTGTGATAGTTGGGAAAACAGGATTTACATAAGGGGAAGAAATTACTTAAAGAAAAGAAATTTGATGTCCACTAAACTAACAGAAAGGATCTGCTGGATATGATTGTAATACGGTTAAATAATCTCAAAGATCTTCATTAAAGGTAGTAAATGTAGTAATTAATTGGTTAAAATCGATGAAAGTATTGACTAAAAATAGACATGTACACCATCGGATGAAGGAAAAGTTGTCTAGAGATCATGCGTTTGCGCATAAGATAGAAGCTCTTGGGTTCGTGGATGCATGTTTCTGAGGCGTCCCACTCTATGACAACATAATCATCTAGTGCTTTCATGTTTCGAATAACGGCCAAGCTTGGATCATTTTGTGGTTTAAAGCGATGTAAATCCTACACAAGATTAGGTGACAAGAAAAGCTCAAGTTATTTAGTTTGTTGTTAATATATGTTGGTGTTTTTTTAAAATAAATAGTATTTTTCAAATTCATATTCCCTCAAAGACTTTTGTTATTATCCGATTATCTTTTTTCGGCCTTAGTTTGTTAATTTTGTTACGTTCTTCAATATTATTGGTTGTTACAATATAAACAGGATTATCCCACCTCAGTGTTCGACTTCTGTTTGGAATATCAAGCCATCCTGAAAGTACCATCTTATTTATCCCAAATCAACCTGTGGATTATTAGCACCAGGGTGTTGTCTTATGACAGTGGCCGTTCTATCGAATCTCAAACAGTCAATCACTTTGGGCTCAAATCACAAGATACAATATTAATTAATTTTTTATGAATACGGCCAATAAATTTCTGCCACTATTCATGACAAATGAATGAATGAATCAAATAATTCATTTGTATTGTTTGTTTGAATCTTTATATTGATGTTGACGACTATGACTGATCTATCTCTTCTTGGCATGTATGTGCCCAGTTTGAACTGCCTTGATATTCTAGATACATTATCTAACTGACGAATCCCAAATAGGACAAAACGTACCTCGTGAATTCCATTGCTAATATCTACCATTCATCTCTGCTTATAATTGATCAGAGACTTTATAATCAAAGATAAATTAGCTAGCAGTGGAATCCAAGACGTGCATTTCGTCCTATTTAAGACTAGTCAGCTAGATGTACATGCATCCCATATATTCAACAAGAGACTGATCAATTACTGACCTAATCAACAATGGAAAGATAAAAGCAAAACAACACCAAGTAAATTAATTAGAGAGTTTAATTTAAAAAGAAAGTGAAATTGAAATAGAAAACAGAATTCTACATTGTGTTTTGTTGATTGCAATATTCAATCATATTTAAAAAATTTTTTGTTTGTTTGCTTCAATTCATAACCTTGTCTGTTTAAAATTTATTATTGTTCAATTAGTTAGTTGGTGTGTATGTATGTATGTATAATGTGTGTATATTTATTACTTTTGTCTGTTTGTATGTTTTATAGTTCTTTTTCAGTATATAACTTCAATGGGTAGAAACATACTGACACATATATAAAGAATGAGACTGACAGAAGATATATTATTCAAATTGGGGTGGGGGAGGAGAATAATACAAAATTAAAAATTACATAACATTGTTATGATTTTGATTGAAATTACAAAATTTTAAAAAAATGGTTTTAAATTACACACTCATTGATGTATGTATATTGAATTTGTTTATACCCACCACATTCAGCTGTAATAATATGTACACACGCACATACACACACACACACTGGCAGTTAATGTACACGCACACACATTTACACACATACATACAAACATGCATACATGTACTGTTCATCTACAC